GCATATTAAGATGTATGGACTGACTTCTTTAATAAAAAAGACCGGAGAAAACAAGCCTCACTGGCCTTTTCACACATAGATTTTGTATGCCACAGCAGATGCAGTTTCATTTTTGAGTGGCCTATACGGGACTTCGAGGGGAGAGTTGCTGTGCTTTTGAATTGTTGATTAAACACGCAAATTCTCTTTATTTTCACTGGTAGTTAAGTAGCAACAAGGATGTTTTAAATGCCCAAGTGCCTGTTATACCTCCAGATTAGGTTGTGGTTTACATGAGATTCAGTTGTCTGCTTTCATTATAGTGCTTCAGGGAAAAAGAGGGGAAAACTGAATGAAAACAAGCACAGATGATACAGAGGGTGCACACACACACAAATCAGTGAGTGATTGCCACAGGCCTTGCTTTGGCCACCAGAATTTCTAACCAAATGCCTGAAAGTCAGATGACCAAAAAGAGAGCAGTAGATCCTATAAGCTCTCCTTGGATTAACCATGTGTTGCAACACAAATCTTATAAAACCCATGTAAAAACAAAATTTTGCTTCAGCCCTAAAGGAGTTCCAAAACATGGTCGTACAGCATAGATCTGTGCTGATGCTTTCTTTCGACCGCCCCTACCTTCTCTTTGGAAGTATTTCTGTAGGAAAAAATATCTCCTTCCCTTATAAATGTTGTTTTAAAACTAAGCAGCTTCATTAGCATTAAAAGCAGTTGATCCATTGCTGTGGCCTGAATCCCAGATGAGAACATACCTTCCTCTGGGGCTTCCCATCTCAGCATACTATTAAAAACATAAGCAAACATCTTTGCTCTGTGCACACAGAGAAAGTGATTTACAAACACGTGGATTGTAGCTTTCTTTTTAATGAAGTTTCTTATCAATGTGCGTGGCTGGAAGATTGACCATAGTAAATCAGAAGCTTCAAAGCAGTGCTGGCAGCTTTATTTGACATAAAAATTAAAATGCTACAAATGGCGAGCGTGGCATTCTCTGAGAGCTGACCGTTTTCAGTTTTACTCTGTTTACCTGGTTTTGAAGAACAAAAAAACATATTAGGGGTCGTTTGGGGGGAATGTTCATATCCCTTGCTTCTGTTTGACCTCATTAAGATGCTCAGACAGCAAATGGGTGCAGGAGTTCCAAGAAGGAACAGGAGCTGTTTGGTAGCAGGGATCTCTACCAGGCTTTTCCAGCCAAACGAAATCTTTTTGGAGTTCCTCAGCATTTCCCCCAGTTTAAAAGTATTTAGGTGATGAGACCACTCCTGTTTTGTGCTGTTGTGCCTTTGCATGCACAGTGTATCTTCAACCCATCGTTGTGCTCATCCCCATGACTGGTGCTCCCATCTGTGTTGCCCTCTGCAGTGGGTTTGCCTTCTTCTGCGGTGAAACTCATCACTGCACATGTCCTGGGACGGTCCTTTACCATCATTGAAATCCAGCCTGGAAGTCATGTTTGCTTCGGAAAGGCCATGTGCTTCTCTAGGGTGGATGCTCGTTCTGGCTGCAGGTAGACTGGTGTGGAAGGTGCTAAGTAGGGCTTGCACATCCATGTTTGCCCTCGCCAGCGGTGCTGGAAGTTTGCATTTGGGGCTGGCTGCTGCAGCCGGTGGCCAGAGCAGCAGGGCAGCAGTTCTGCCCCTTAATTTTCTTGTAGACAAATGCCTGTAGACCTCCCCGCTCCAGCACACCCGTCCTTCTCCATCTTCCAGTTCTGTAGCGTACAAATTTCTCTGGTTCTGTGCAGCTGGGTGAGTGGGGAACATGTGAGAAGAAAGGAAACTTTATTATGACAGACAAGCTGGAAGATTGACACAGCATTCGTAGATATATTAAAAATAAATGGCTCTGCTTCAGCCTGTGAAATCTGATCCTCATATATTAATGGCATGGGCTGGGGGGAGAGCTGTTCTATTTTCTGGTTTGTTTGCTTTATGTCTGTATAATCTCAAAGGGTTTTGCCTGCCTGTAAACCTTAACGTATTGTGGAGTAGCTTGAGCAGAATAATGTATAGTTTAGGCAATGTATAGATACACTGATTTTATTGACAAAGTAAAATGATAAAATTATTACTTCTCTGTTTGTCTGCTGACCATGAAACACTGGCATATTATAAATGCTGCTCTACTAGTAAAATCATACTCTAACATGTGTTTCAGAATAATAACGTGCCTAAGAAAAGCCTTTTTTGCCAATGATACGCTGTAAACAATTACAATAGTTTTGATATTTTATAAACCAATTCATAACCATCTTCAGTGTCCTGTCTAAAGAGCTGCCTATGATGGACTTGTAAAAATTAAAACATAAAAGCTAATAACTACATTAAAGGTTACCTATTTATGTGAAGTGTCTGCTGCAGTGATAGAGGGTTGCTAACAAGGCACCATGAAAATGCTAAATCAGGAAGTTCTGAAAAAAGATGACAAGAAAAACATTTCTCATTTATTGAGCTGAGAATTTTTAAAATTAGTGTTTAGTAATGGAAGACTAAAGGAATAGAGTTAAACATTTAACGAGTGAAATGCATCTAGAAATTATACCAAGGGGAGTTTTATACAGAAAGACCCAAGCAAGAATTTGGTACCTGGGCTGTTCCCCAAAATTCCTTCTTGTTGTTAAGTAATAAATTAATAATTTAAGCTATTAAGCTTCAGCTTTTAAGCAGCTGCACCTTGAAATGCAAGTTAACTCAGCCTTAGCAGAAAGAAGGAAATTTTTATCATTCTTTCTTTTATTCATCTTTTACATTTTCTTTTTAAGTTGGTTTTGTACTCATTACTTTATTTGCTTGTTGGCTGGCAGGTGTTGTGAATTTGGAATGCTTCATGGTACCTCTGATCTTAGTGTCTATAAATGCAGAATGACCTTGATTGAGGTTTGCTTCAGTAGTATATTCCTTCCCCCTTGCTCAGTAATTGCAGCTTACCTCTTTCAAAAGCAAAGAACAAGAAAAAAAAATAGTCAAGAGAAGCTTTTTCTTTCTCTGAAGTTGCCAACAACCAAGCACCAACACTTCCAAATAGAAACCTTCCTTGGAAAGTTTCAACTTGGAGGAAACTGCTGTAGTTGTGGTCTGAAATTATGGTCTTTCCTAATGGAAGTACTCACACAACCTTATCTCTGCAAGCAGAAGCAAATTTAAACTAGCTATGCTATTTACTTTTTTCTAGGTATTAATAGTTCTCAGTTTATTATAGTAGCTAAAACGTGTATAAAGAAAATAACTCTTTCCTGAACTTCCTGGGTGAAGCTATTCTGCTTATTTCAATCACCTGCTATCATGCTGCTCATCAGCTAGTAATGGCTCAACACCTACTTGATGGTTCAGTTGCCTTGAAATGCTGTAGGGAGGGTTTGCTGGAGTCACTGTCTGGCAGCTGTGACATTCAACAGAAATTATCCAATCTGTCCATCTTGTTCCCACAACTGGAGAAAATTACTGTGATCAAAATGGAAAGAAGAGTAGTTAACCTTTTATTTACTTCTCAGTAGGGTGGTTTTCTCTAGCAGTTGGGAAGTTTAGCTCCTGTGGGTTTCACTTTCCCATCACAGCAGATTCCTCTGTGTTTCTGGGCACTGGGATTCTCTGACATGCTTTTATTTGCTGAATTATCAATACTTTCTGGCTAATGTAAAGAAAACTTTTGGAAATGTTCAAAACATTATTCCTTAGCACATAAGTCACCTTTTAAGTAGTAGAGACCAGGGCTTGACAGATGGTGTCTGTATTAAGAAAAAAGGAAAAAAAGACAGCATACATTTTAATGTTAGTTTGTCCATTTTCACTTATGCTTTGGTATAGGTTGGACAATCAAAGACAGCTTGGGCAAAGAATAACACTGTGAATTCTGTAGGATCTTTGAGTAAATTAAAATTTTCTGGAGTGTTACAACAGCAGATGTTGCGTGGAAACCTGTCCCGCATGGGATGGAAACACAACCTAACCAATGGGACCAGTGGTACTGCAATTGAAAGCATCGGCCTAATCCCTGTTTGTGGCAACTTTGCAGAAGATAGTGCCACTGTTTATTGCTGCTGCTGTATATTGCAGGGGATTGTAAGGAAGGAGAAAAAAAAAATGTACCTGCCACCATAACTCATTCTATTGTGTTCGCATGTGCTATAGAAGAATGACGTTTGGAAAGTAAATGTGCTTCCTACTAGTCAAATGGGGGGGGGGGGGAAAAAAAAAAAAAAATAAAAACACTTTTTTTTTTTTGAATTTTTTTTCAAGTTGTTTTTTTTTTACTCCAGGCTTTTTACTTCATTTTTTTAGAGCACTTTAGAGACTTTGATTGCAGCATCTGACTTTGCTGAGTCCAGAGGCATCATACCTAAGATATTCCTTGACTGTACTTTCTCTTTTTGTTCATTATAAGTTTCTTCAAACAGAATATTTTGTTTTATTGCATGGCGTCTCCATCTGGTCTGATGTGAGAGGAAAGCATGTTCTTTGAATAACTAACACATTCATAGGTCACAACTTTTCTTCTCTTAAAATAGTTGCTGAGAAAAGACTTGAAGTATTAGACCAAAAAAGATGATCTGTGTATCACCATCAATGTGCTGAGGTTTTATGTAGTGAACTTTCCTAGTGAGTGGACCTTCAAGGGGTGAGAACAACTATTTCAAAGTTGTGCAACATTTACAGTTGTACAGCCCTAAAGATTCAGGGTATTTATGAAAACATTTACTCTATCCTGCATGTGGATTGCAGTACACATATAACTAAGCATTTATTGCATCTTTTTCATTTTTTCCTTTAGTCCAAATACTTTGAAATTTAGCCTTTACTATTTTTCACTTTAAATTCTCACAGATGTAGCTTATTATGTGATTTCCAGTTATAAACATTTTCTTACAATATTATTCCTACCTTTGTGTCGAGGTACAGTATCAGCGCAATGTAATAGTTCTGCAGAGTCATGATACAAGCAAAAAAACCACCATAGGATCTCTGATATTTTTTTTTTCTCTTATTTTTTATTTCCTGCAGATGTGATCCATACTGTTGGGCCGATTGCAAGAGGCCATCTCACCGACACTCATAAAGAAAACTTGGCAAATTGCTATAAATCCTCTCTGAAACTGGCAAAAGAAAACAACATCAGATCAATTGTAAGTACTGTATGAAAACACATTATTTTTTCTAATTTGGATCTTGGTTTCTTTGCTGTAGAATAATTATAATGGTAGTCTTCCAGAAGGATTTCTTGCTACATGTGACATGAAAAAGCAAGAAATAATATGTTATTTGGCCAAAATAGTTGCTAGAGGAAAGGGATGTGCTTATTTTAAGAATTAGGGAAAGTTGGCCTGGTAGTAGGGGTACAAACAACTGTCTCATTACAAAAGGGAGGGAGCTGTTCCCCTGGGTCATTCTTATACTGTATTATTTATTAAAAAAGACCTAAGAAGCTATTGGTCAGGAGGATAACTGCATGCAGTATTGTCTCCTAAATAGCTGAGAAGAGATTAATTTGTTGCTTATTCTGTCAGTTAACGTTTCTTTGTAAAAATAAAGGTATTGGTCAAGTGGCACTCTTTATAGCACTCTCTCACCAAAATCAATCATAAAATAGCCTGTTATATGATATTCCATTGAATCATAACAGTTCTTTGATTGCTTGAAATACATGTTACATTTTTGTACCTCAAAAGGCCAGATTTTCAAAGTCCACAGAGAAAAGGAGCTGTTCCCTCTCCAGCTCTGGAGATTTGATTCTGTAGCTCAAACTGTTACAGATGAAGTCTTTAGATATCCATAGGTTAGTTCCCTATATGTTTAACCAAGAAGGAAGTTATCACCTGGGCCTGACTTCACACCTTTTGAGTCATTTTGGCTGGTTGTGTGATAGCACATATGTTTAGCAAGTTAGAACACACACGCTTAATCTAAAAAATGTTAGTTGAACCAATGGTATTATATCAGGGTGAAATATTCAGTAGGGGAAGCTATTAACATGGAAAAGTGTCAAATGGAAAATAAAGCTTTTTGAGGAGAAGAGCAAGACAAGTGTAGGTCTTTGAACCCCAGTTAGATGTGCCCTTTGGAGTCAAACCTGATGAATATTATTTCTTTCTTGTTGGTGCAGACTGTGCTCTTTACACTTTTTCTGCTAAAGAAATCCTCTCTGTGCTTCTCAAAATGGTGTCCAGTGAGCCCTCTCTTTGCCATTATCCAGCCGCGAAAGAGAGGTGGTACTAATGTAGTTGTTATTTGATTTTTTTTTTTTATTTATTTTTTCTTTTAATGCTCGGCACATCAGTTAGAACTTAAAGCGACCTTGGGTGTGTGGGCGCATGTTTTGAACTGCTCACTGGGATTGTTTAAACACACAAGGATGTTTCTGTCCTGCTGTGATTCTCACTGGCGCCAGTAAGATCTCTGTGCTGTTGCTCCTACTTTCATCCTTGTTCCTGCCTTTAGGCTCTGGGCAATTAAATGCTGCTTCTGGGGCATTCAGGCTAGTGAGAAGAAAGTTCCTAACATGGGAAGGGGAGGAGGGGGAGGGAAAAAAAAAAAGAAATTGTTTAGAAAAGAACATTGAAATAACAAAGGAAAAAACTGCACTGGGCATTGGTCAGTGCTGGCAATGCTTGCATCTGTAGGGATTCTGTAGTTTTTGGACATTCTAGGTGTAGCTTGGTATTTAACATAGAATAATAAAGAGTGGTCATACTCATGGGTTTCATGAAAACTAGCCTGATGTTTTAGTAAGAAAAGATGACCACAGGAGAAATCATCCATGGATTATTTCCTTGCTGGTTAAGAGCTGTTGACTGTGCACCTGTTTGAGATAAAAAATACTCAACACCCAGACTTGCAGAACACAGCTGCACAAGCTGAAGAGGAGCCAAGAGGCATTCATTCATACCAACATTAAGAAGCTTAGCAAGCAATATGGATTTTAAAGTCCACATGACAGAGCATGGACTGTTCTGAAAAGCCCTAAGTCCAGTGATTTCAGTGATGCTTTGGGAAGTGAAGGCTACTTGAGTGTCTACCCTAATGAACAAATCAAGCCTGGACCAAAGTAAAATGTCTAATGCATTCAGTTAAGGAGCAGTAGATTACTGTGAGTCCGAAGAAAAGAATACAAAATGCAGGTGCGTTTCACAAGGTCCAGTACAGTAGACATAGAGGGAAAGGAAAGAAAATGAATAAAAATATCTACAGACTTCTGAGGCTTGCAGAGACCCTGTAGAGAGAACAGAAGTACTCAAATTGACTCAAATAGTCAACATCTGAGTGTGGACTGGATTATGGCAACAGATATGTTTGCAATGTGGAGAAGACAAACAAACATGGGGCGGGGGGAGAAGGTTACCTGTTTAAAATAAGGGAGAGAAGATCACTTGTGCTAATTGAAAGCATATTTTGACCGCCTTTTTAACATGGAGACAAAATAAGTATGGGAAAGAGGAAAATGAGGAATTTTAAAATAGGTACTGAATAAAAGCAGTATAGTTTTTTTTTTTTTCTTTTAATGCTAGGCACATAAGTTAGAACTGAAATTAACCTACATATAAATGAATAGGTATTGATGATAGCAAGTTGTAGTATACTAAAAGAATTAACTAAACCAGAAAGCATTGGAGCACTAGCAGTTGTAGTAAGTGAGAAGGAAGCAGGAAGACATTAAAGGATCGTTATTTATCTTCAAAACAGAAAGGACAGCAAGTCTAGAAATTAGTGCAGAAAGAGGAAAAAAATCCCACAATTCAAATTGCTTTGAACATGAATTGTGTCATAGGAATTAGAATTGCTGGAGGCGTTACGAATGAAGAGTAATGATGAATGGCAATGTATCAAGTTGGACAGAAGTGTGCAGGGTGGCTCAGGGTGCACCACTAAATGCAGTTTAACATCTTTATTAATGATTTTTGAAGAGTACATAAACAGCTCATTAATTACATTTACAAATGATACTACATTAGGCAGTGTTGCAAACACTAGAAAAGGACAGAGATATATGATGACAATTGATTACAGAGGCTGCGAATATAACCTCATCCAGCATCCGCTATAGCACCAGAAGGGAGTTTTTGCCTCCACTTTAGTGGAAGATAGGTCAGAACCAGAGCTGACAGCTACAGTGTAACTCGGCATGGGAAAAGATGAAGTAGCATATGGTGGGGAAAAATAACCCAGTTTGCAAATAGTCAAAGGGAGAAGCGTGCTGGAAAACCAGCATAATGAGGAAATGGTCTTGAATAATAAGCCTCAAATTAGATAGACTTACAGCAGTCACTTGTTTTGTTTTGGTATTACATATTGTTGAGCTGCCTATAGAGAAATGATGGATGCCATAGAGGTTGTAGTTTCTGTTCAAAATGGATGGGGGAGAACAGGAATAAGATTCAGAATAGATCAAAATTCACTTATACATATGTATATATAGATGTTTCACATACTGAAGAAGGGAAGCAATGATCTTGAAATACTGTGTAAATTGTGAGATGCAGCTTTATGGAAGGGGAGAGAGAAGAATGTCATTGTGCGTATGACAAAATGGCAATTAAATGGTGTAGCTGATATTAATTTGGGTTGTGTTCGCATCCAAGGTGTCCAGACATGGATAAGAGCAACTCTGTGCTAACTCTTGGGGGATCACTGAAATCTCATCTGAAAATGTTATAATCTCAGTAGATGGCGGGGGGGGGGAGGAGATACAATGGGTAAAACCAGAAATGAGATGAGGGAATATAATGAAATGCCAGTCAGTGTGATTGCCAAGGCTCATAATTCACCAGCAGCCCAGCCATGGGCGAGGATTTGCATAGCCATTAAGGCAGAGAGAAGAGCCTCAGGAACAAATTTGATTGTCCGCAGGATTGTTCAGGGAAATCAAACAGCCCCTGAGATTTGTCTCCTGTGCTCGTTTTCTCAGACCTTTTATGTTCAATATGAGGTTTCAAATGCCATATCAGCTATTTTCATACAGGAGTTTGTCTTTCTCAGGTCATCTACTCCATCTACCTTTTAGCTTACCAAAGCAAAGTTTATGGTTGTGTTTGTACTTGTTATCTGGCATTCCCAAAAACATGCATTGCTTTTTCCTTTGCACTTGCTTATGTAGCTGTGCCCACTGTAGGACATTTGAGCTGTTCTCTGTCTATTTGTGTGGTCATAGGTGCTGGGTGAACCTTTTGTGTTGGATGAGTCTTATTTATACAATCCTCTGCCTGGTTAAGAGGATACTTGAGACATTGTTTCTGTTTGTCTCCAGTTAAATTGGTACAGATTAATGGGAGAAAAAAATATTTAAGGTAATACAAGGAATTTATTTTAGGAGTAAATAGTTGGCATTTAAGCAAATTAAGTTTCTTAAATGTTCCAAATAATTTCCTAGTAATGTAAAAAATTGTATTTTGACGTTGGTCTCTAACACACTAGTAGCAATTGCTATTCTGCATCAATTAAATCTCTGCTGCCTGAAGCACTGGGATTACATTATAGGCATTGAGTCTTTACTGAAAGAATAAATGGTAAAAATAGTCAGAGATGCTTTTTCTGTTTTCGTGTATTGGTTTTCTAAATAAGAGTCTTATAGGCCAATTAGTTGTTAGGTTATCAGACAGACTGGGGGAGTTGTAATCACTGTTTTCAGGGATTAAATTGGTCCCGTTTACAGATTGTTTGAAATTATTTACTCTGTGTGCTCTGACTTTCTCGGAGGACCTCCTGACCTGCTGTCGTGGTTTAACCCCAGCCAGCAACTAAGCACCACGCAGCCGCTCACTCACTCCCCCCCCATCCAGTGGGATGGGGGAGAAAATCGGGAAAAGAAGTAAAACTCCTGGGTTGAGATAAGAAGGGTTTAATAGAACAGAAAAGAAGAAAGTAATAATGATAATGATAACACTAATAAAATGACAACAGTAGTAATAAAAGGATTGAAATGTACAAATGATGCGCAGGGCAATTGCTCACCACCCGCCGACCGACACCCAGCCAGTCCCCGAGCGGCGAATCCCTGCCCCCCCACTTCCCAGTTCCTAAACTAGATGGGACGTCACATGGTATGGAATACACTGTTGGCATGTTTGGGTCAGGTGCCCTGGCTGGGCATGAGAAGCTGAAAAATCCTTGACTATAGTCTAAACACTACTGA